ACCTAGTAACTTACAATTTGTTTATTTATAGATACTTTGTTCAAATAAATTTATTATCGTTTCTGCTTTGAAAAAGACCACAGTGGACGAAACGCGTCGGCTAAAACTACATACAGTTTTTCTATTGACTTTTTTCTTTATACATATTGTCTTTATTTACATATTAATTCTGATAATTTTTAAAATTTAAAATTCGACCAATGATGTATTTTGAAATTTAACTTTCTGACTGCTATTCGCGTTTTACTGAAATAATCTCCTTGTTTAATATATTCTAACAGGATAAAATTGTATACTTTGTGTCACAATCGAAAACGCGTGTTTGATTATCTCCCTTTACCAGAGAAGTAATTGCTGACATTAGACAAACTCGGAATATGAGTAAATCTCTCGACAGAATTTTTCCAGAAGTCATCATGCCAAATTAGCAATAAAACTAAACAATTCTATTTTCATAAATTCTATTGCGTTGAACTTCATTTTTAGTCTACTATGATTGATATCGTAAAATATTTCTTCTGATACAGAATAATTTGATTGACAGCCCTCAAAATAATTCCTCCAAGCAAAAAAATAAATACAATTATTTTTAAAAGTTGAAGCCTTATCAAATTACAAACTTATAAAATATATTACCCGCTCATGAAAAGAAACTTTTGGCTCATTTGAAAGAATTATATTGCATTAAAAATTCGAATGAACTTCGCAACCGAAATTTTCAAAATAGTTGCAAATAGTTTATGTAATTTTGAAAACAATTAAATTATACAAACCATTTCATATATGCCACGTATAAAAATTTCAACAGCTCAGCATCACTTCAAACGAACCGAGCAAATGTCAAATGTTATTTCAAACAGGTTTTCAAGAAAGAAAAAAAACTATAAATTTAGTTATTGAACTTGTGGAGGCTTGATTCGATTTCTTACAAGAATATTTAAGATACTTTGTGGATTGAAAGATGGCTTTTACCAAATACTCCTATTAAAAATGTTCTTAATGGTTAGTTTAATAATGACATTCGGAGACCATTATTTTAAATATGTCGCTTTTAGCAATATATAAAAACAAGTTTTAGTCAAATTTTATAAACTTGTTTGTGAGTTTTTATTTCAATGGTGTTCCGTTTAGTTTGGTAGCATTTCGTACTTTTGCTAATATTTATCTTAATATGAATACTTTTTTACTTCAACTATTCACACTTTTTACGACATCATGTCCTAACTCTTCACAGATTCCGTTAACATTAATATCTGTGAATTAGCATAGCTTCTTGGGAAAGATAGTGCAGACGTTTGTTATTGCCTACAGCACAGTTTTGAATTCAGTGTTATCTTTCTCTAGTCTGGAAGGCCGAGTTTACTCTGCTATTTAATCCATAGAAAGTTGGAGGAGGTAAAAGTCGATTCATACCTTTGTCAAAGACTTTTATGAATGCAACTGACTAGGCTGAAACTCAGATTCTGGATTCCATTTTTGGCATCGATAATCGTTATATTAGGCGCACATCAATTCACAGTATAGAATTGGAAGGGTTGAAAACGTAAAAAAAACAACCTTAAGGGGTAAAACATGAACTGAAATATGAAGCGAAGGAAAAAAAGAGATTTTTTTTTCTTTCTGATAAACAGAAACGTCGAATGGAATGTTGAGTCCAAAATATGGTTTGGAGAAAATATAAACTGAAAAAGAATTGTTATGAGTCCTCGAAACCGTAATTTAAACGATCTGGAGTGTGTTTTGAAAATGGGCAGAGAATTATTTAGGTCGTATTGGTAAATCGACGAACAAAGAAAATTCTTACCGTTTGAAAAACTTCAAATATGCAGGTAGTGGAGTGAAGTTGGGTAAAGCCAAAATGTAAACAATGGGATTTGAAATCGGTCGTTTTAGAAGTCGGAAAAGAAAATTAAATTCTTTAGAGATAATTATTAAAAGTAGCTGACAGCCATGTATCGAACTCACAACTCTTTTGGTCAAGTCCTTGGACAATTGGCTCATTAGATAAAAGCGTTGGTTAAAGTAATCTAGGGACTTAAGAGTTCTGAGTTCAATACCTGTCCACAGATGGACAAAAACTTGGAGAATTAAGTTACTAAAGGGAAATAACTGAAATTAAGATATCCAGAAAAGGATATCTTAGTTTCAGGCTCCTTCTTCCTAGCACAATCTACCCCGGTGGACGAAGTAAAGGTTTTAGTTCGAAATTCCAACGTATATCACCTGAAGAAGGACGGAGCGTACAATAGTTCGAACAATGTAAATAGTGTAAATGAAAACATTGCCTTGAGTAATAAAATCTAGCATAGTTTATTTACGACAGTTGATCTATTGTTTCTGTTACTGGAGCTTTTTCGGTTGATCATCTGTAACCACGATGTTTTATTCCCCTTTATCAATTGGCACCATAATTCGTATTATACGGAGGGGCCAAAATAAGCTTACACTTACCATACACTTTACATTTTTTAAAAACATTTTATTACATTTATATTTTTTGTCACAATTATATTTATTCAAAACTATTTATGTAGATGTGTACATAAGATTTTACTTACATTTTATTTAGCACAGTTTAATCTCTTAAGTGCTCAAAATATCCTCCTTCAACATCGCAACATTTCTCGAACCACTCCAGAACACTATGACACACAGCACGACACAAATACCGATTTTCATCACTTTCAATAAATACTTCCGAGATATACTCTTTTAATTCGTCCATTGAGTGCTGAGTTCTCTCATAAACTTTGTACTTTACTACACCCCAACAAAGAAATCCGTTAGTGAACGTGGTGGCCATTCCATGCGGGCCTCTTCTTCCAACACAACGCTGTCGATAGGTTAAGGTTATCCTTTACTGACAAAGCATAATGAGGAAGTATTTCATCTTGCTGAAAGAACTGTTCGGCAAAGTTATCTCTGGTTTCCTAGCTATGGAAACGTGAAACAACTACTTTAAGCCCACCCTGCATTTCGTACGCTAGTAATATTAATAATAGTAATATTATCTTCATTTTTATCCTAACTGAAGCACTGTTAATTTTTAATTTTGGATTTCATATAAATTAAAGTTGTTTTTCATTTGTGGTCATCTGTAAACAGCGCGATTGTAAAACAAGCTCAGGCGGGACCAAAAGTTAAGAGAAAAGTGAGTTTGAGTTCCGCCTCATGCTGGTAGCTTATTTGTGACCCGTGCTTTTATTTATTTCTTTATTACAATTTGTCCTGAAATATGGCTAAGCATTTAGGAATGGAGTCAGAAAAACTCATCAAACTAGAACGATGATGGCCGGTTAATAAATACCTTTGATTCAATGATGCACGATCGTAACAAAGTGATTAGCGACTTTATTTAGTGAACGTCAGCCGTTTCCTGGACAACCTAACAGGAATTTTCCGCTCGTCTAATCACCGAACAAACAATGAAATTGTGCCAATGCATATCAAAAGATACACAACAATGATATCTCTCTTTATGCAGCAGGCAATTGGCGAATTTCTTTAAGTTATCGATCTATTGATCCGGAAATGAAATGAGGTTTGCGTTATACGTACTTCGATCAGTAAGATCAACGAAAGACGAAACAAGAAGGAAAATATCGATTCCTTTTTTTTACGAATGTCTTTTATGTGGGAAGAAGCTGAACACAGAACTAACGGCTCAGGTAAATGAAAAGCACATGGCTTCACGGGATTACTGAAATGGAATCCATATTTTTTTTTATTGTTGGTGTAAATAAAGATTTGATATCTTTGGTTCTTTAAAGAGACGATGGGCAAAATGTTTATTTTCAGAAATCAGCAAACATTCCGGTCTTCGCGAAATCAAATGTCCGTGCAAACAACGATATTCTCAAAACAGGAATTTTATTTCTTTGTCCTAAAATAAATGACGAAAATTTCGGAATTATTTTCTGTCTTTTCGAAACACTATAAATTATGATTATTTAGTTAATGTTTTTCTGGTAGGTACCGAATAAAGAAAAATATATTGTGCTAATCATCTAGAAGCAAGCAATCCAGCCTTGATATTCAGCATTCGATATGCTTACTACAAAGCTTGAACATCGATCATCGTCGCCGGAAGGAAATACGCAACTATCGACCTCTTTAAAGCAATCCATCAAACGGTTTTCACAAGAGACAAAACGAGTCAGTAACATAAATTAATTTAGTCTTCTCTCTTTCACATCCATCTAAGTTTTCTCTCCTTGATGTCTACTTCTCTCCGCTGCTTCTAATTTGATATTTGGCTCAAATGATTTTGCCCAGTTATTAATATTTAAAAGCCTATCTTGTTATAGAGAGCTTAAACAGACACAACCTACTGTTAAATCAATAAATGTCTTTAGCTCGCCTCTTTATTAACTACCATTGATGGCTATTATGCTTACAACTACTGAAAATTCTCTAACTTTACCGACATCAAATCATTGACATTTAAGTTGATTTCTCTAGGATCAAAACAATCTTCGTTCCATTTTTTATGAAAATAAGTTTTCATCATCCACATCCCAGTCAGTAGTCGCAAATGTCTTTTCTTGATCCTGGCTTAAATTTGAGGATTCTTAGTAAATGGGATGTGGTGATATTTACTTTCAGTGGTCGAGTGGTTAGAACGTTAGCATTCTGGTCACGAGAACCGGGTTCGAATCTTATCATTTATCAAGGAGGTAACTGGAGACGATCTCAGCGAACGACACCATTGGGAAGCGCCTGAAAACTGGTATGACTCAAGTTCTGTGAGTGAAGAAACTGTTCATAAGCCGTGGATGCTTGTGTTATTACGATGGATTGACTGATTTGTTTCTTTGCAGGTTATTATTTGATATAATACTGATTTACTGATACAAATTCTAATAGTTAACCCATAGCCGGGGAGAAGAACTGGATTCTTATATTTCCAATTATATTTGCACCTATGTGAATATAATGAACTCGACAGGAATTGGAACTCGGCTCTCCGATTTCCAATACCGAAGTGTTATCTATTATGCTTCCAGCATCTGGTATTCCGAAGCAGTCACCCATCTAGGTACTGACCAGGATCGATATTGCTTAACTTCAGTGATCGTGCGAGAACCGGTTGTTCAGTGCGACTAGACCATCAGAAGTGCTACTAACAAATAATTTTGACAGAGGTTTTGGCACATACTGGCCTTTACAAATTTTGTATCACGCCGGATTATGCACTTTCTCCCAGAAGCTCTAACTAAGGTCCACTCAGCATAGTTGCAGTATACATTACAGGTTGGCTATATGAGCCAGCACATATGTGTCGGAGAAGGTGTCAGCACCTGTGATTAGCTAAACACCCTCATAGGCAGGTTTACCAGGAAAACAACCATAACATACACAAATATTTGCAAGTTATCAGTATTATCCGCAAACATCAGGAAATGCGATATTTATCGAAGCTTAAGTGAAATTGTCAAATTTTGTCTGGTGGATGAATCACCAGAAACTCTATGAAACACTTTCCCTTGAAGATGATCTGAAGTTTATAAAGAATTGCGATAACTGAACGGAAGTTGGCTTAAATATTTACTGGTTTTAGCAGAATATTAGACGTAATATCCAATATGCAATATTGCATTTGATAATTTAAAATTTAAAACATCAATTCTGGCTTGGCACGTAATTTTTCTTTATGCCAAAAATCATAGCTCGGTTAGTTCTCCTGGTATTGTTTAAAGAGTGGTTTATGGACACTCAGAACTAATCGAAATATATACAGTTTTCAAATTTAGTTCTCCTTTTTTTTATAGGTGGGTAGAAAATATGTTCGATTCGAACGTTAACCATGGCCACCATTGTTAAAGGCGATGTATGAGAGAGCAAGACAAGTTGAAGGAAGCCTAAGGCAACAGGCAGAAGAACAATACATAGGATGGAAACTGTCGTAAATGATGACGTAATAAAAGGTTGAAGACCACGTGGCATTGTCTCAAGAACTTTACGAAAGGTATTCGTTTCAAGCATAATCAGCACCAGTTTAAATATTAACACAATGGATTACAAAACTACGAGACTTAGATCTATAAGTAATAGTACTTACCTAAATAGAGTTATAGATTTTATTTTCCCGAATTCATTAGCAAGAATGATACAAGGTCATTTTAAGAGAGGGGTTCCATAAGGTCCTTAATATTTTTTCGATTTTCCTTCAAATAAAATTCTCAGATATAATGTTTATGCTGATGGAATTACGCTATTTGAAGTTTCCAATTAACATCCACCACAAAGGCGTTTAAAGTTTTCAATAAATGCAAGAAAGGTGACTCATGTATTTATTGATTGATTAGCGGATTTCTTTTCTGCGGGATTATCAACCCTTTGCCATTTATTTAAAGCCAGATCGTAAGAATTTTTTGGCGATAATAATGGTTTATTGTGACAAGTTTTACTAATTAACCCATAGCTGGAGAAAGAGATAGATTCAGATCTTTCCTATTGCTAGTTGAGCGTAAGTGAATATAACGAACCCAAGGGAATTAAAATTCTGTTCTGCGATTAATCATTCCAAAACATTATCCATACCACCAACACATTTAATATTACATCACTTGATATTCCCAAGCAGTCACCCACCTATCCCGACTCGACTTCGCTTAACTTTGGTGATCCTATCATGCGTTTAAAAGTAATTTATAATAGTATCTCCTTGCAGTTTAGAAAAGGAGTACAGTTCATACACATAAACAATAACATACCTCAGTTTCTCTATTTACAAATGGATATACAGCGGTATTTCTCAGAGTCCCAGGTCATATTCTTCACATTGTGATGCCAGAACTTCTCTCCCATTTTGAATTATAATCTTGTAATTTTTCATCCTTATATGTATTAATTACACAAAAGAGTGAATTTCCCAACTCGAAGTCTTCCCCCGATAAAAATTCCTCCTCGTCCATTTGAAATGTCTCCTGTCGGAGCCAAGTGCCCCAAGTGTAAGAATTACTGATATGCAGAAAATCAGTGAAGTTACATGCCCCGATGATAGGATGAGGTACTAGAGCAGAAGAGGATGAGCAGATGGTTATCAAATATATAGAAAATCTGTTAGTTTTAACTTGTATAAAACATGTCCTAAAACGGACCCTGTTATCAGACACTGCCGGTTAATCATTATAAATTTGGAAAAACAAAATAGGCATTGGAGTTTAATTGAAACAGTTTTTACATAGACAGCTATACTCAGACATGATATATCAAACGGAATCGAAAAAGGTGTTCTTTCAGATTAACAATCAGATATAACAATGAAATATTCTATTCTTAAAGTCTTAGACAGGGAACAGAAAAGACGCCGAAATAGCGATCATAAATCATTTAAAATAATTTCTTTAATTTGGATGTGCGGGTGGTGTAACTGTTAGCTTCTAGGAAAAAGAAATCAGCTTACCGAGTTCGAATTCTGAAGTTGCGTTCACTTTCGCACAAACAGCCTTGGGAAAGGTCTAAATCAATGTCGTCTCCAAATTCCACCAACCAGGAATTAAATAGCAGTGTTGACTAGGTTCACTTGCCTTGAGGTGGCAACCAGTCTAGAAGAAGGAACACCAGATTGAAGTGGTATGGGACCCATCAAGATATCTTCCCCTTGATACAATACTATTGGAATGGTTGCATTACATATGGTGTCCTGACGACACTAATGGGACTAATGTCGTGGATTTTAATTCACTTTTCTTCGAAAATCATTACATTACACTTTTATGGTCCTTTTAAATATTAACTCATACTAAATTATAGCAGTATGTTAACGAACGGACATCGTTTATAGTATATCTTAGTATCACAACAATTTGACTAAAAGGGAGCATGGTCTTTAAGTTTCTTTTACTAATTTCCTTCACTAATTGCAATTTACATTTTGCAATGCATCGGTTGGGAAAACAGCAGAATTTTCTCAATAGCTAACTACAAGGTTTTGTTTCTAAAATTATCTCAAACATTTTGAATCCAATACCAGTAGAAATAAAGATTTAGTTCCATTTGTTCTTATTAGTTTGCACAACATTACACATAGTTGCCTATATTTCATGTTTATTATTAGCAGTAATTGTAGTTATAAAGAGTACACATCTCATAAGATACTGAGATGTATAATAATAAAACTACTTCATGTCATAATATCGAAACATGATTATTGTGGTTCCTTAATTTTCCTGAAACGTGTTAAAAGAAATTATGCAAGTAAACATGTCATTTCAGTGACTGGATGTCTGCGCTGTAAGTTTTGATATTGATAAAGCTGGTTATATGTACGAATCTCTTCACTGTACGCCCACATTTTCTGGAGGGTGTCAGCTATATCTTCTTTTTTGTTCTTTTTTTTTAATCCACATCACCCAAAACAAGGCAGTAAAGCCACTAAGACACAAGGGGTTGCAAAGTGTGGAAGAATTAGGAATAGAAACATTAATAATGAGCAGGAAGAGAAAAGGGTAATTACTTTTCTTCAGTGTTAAAAAATGACCATTTAACACCGTACTAAGCAAGGAGATATGAAGTACCACGTTACTCAGTTTCTATTTGAACTGATATGTCATTGATCATTAAATTTCTAAGTTTGCTCGGCAGGGTCTGAGAATCTACTTAACAATTTGGCTATCAATTTACAGATTTCAGCTCCATCGTTTTCACCATAATACATGCTTTCTGATTGTTGTCCACATTACTTACTGAGAACCGCCTTTCTTTATTTCCCAGTCTTTCCCCAAAAGCGCCTTCCCTACTCAAATAGGTGACTTTCGCTCACAATGTATATCAGGTTTTAAGTATTCTTTCCGGATATAAAACTCAACGTCATGCCTACAGCTATCTACGTTGTGGGAGTCATAAAGTCGACTGACAATTTCAGTTCTATACTTTTGCAGGGTATAACAAAGAAATGGGGAATATTTCCGCTTTGTACTTATTGTTTGCGTTTCAAAATTAGTGTAGAATGGCAAATCTTTTTATCGTCTACTATCGTTGGGCTGCATTAAAAATAAGATGGCTGCATCCAATTTATACTCAGCCATTTTTAACACTAGCATATATAACATGCTTCTACAAATTTCTTATATTACTTAGACGATCAGGCAACATTCAATTGTAAAGATAAATATATTTTACAAGTAGAAAATTTATTTGTTGCCATAAAAACAAACATATTCCAAAAAACAAGAAAGAAGGGTATAGTCATAACAATGTCAAACTGAAAAAGCTGAAGAAGACAAAAAAAGGGAGAAAGAGAAGAGATAGAAAATGAAAAACTGATCGGTTATTTTTTTCTCTCTTCAGGGTTCGATCGAATAAAATAAAACAAATGGTCACATGATTAAAAAGGGACTCAATTAGGATATATTAGTGTATCAGTAATATACTAATACTTATGATCTATTTAGTTCGGGTTTGAATTTGTTTATAAAGTTTTTTTCTTGTATTTGTAGGTACGAGTAATTGTCTGTTTGATATATTGGCATGATATTAAGTTTACCCTGGTTACATTTGAAGATGTGTTGTGACACAAAATGTTTTCTGTTGTCTGGCAATTTTATGTTGCTTTTGTGCAGGGAGACCCTGTTGTTCAGTTGTTGGCTGATACCTATATATGACTTCTTGCATTTTGTGCATTTAAGTACATAAATTACATTTTTGGAGTTGCAGTTTAAGTTTTTGTTTACTATGAATGTTGTTTTGAGGTTTTCAGAAGTGTAGGAGTTTCCTTCTATAATGATGTCACAAAATCTCACATCTTTTTTTGTTGCATTTTGTGACTCCCTGTATTGTGTGTTGGTTAAATTTAGACGAGGTTAATATGTGTTTTAGGTTTTTAGTTTGGCGTTTGCTTTTAAATATTTTGGTTGTTTTTAGTATATTATTCAGTTTATTATTCTTGCTAAGTAGATCTAGATTTTTTGCTATTTCTGTGAATATTTCTGGATTGTTTTTGTTGTATATATATATATATATATATATATAACTAGACTCGTTTCGAAAAACCATCGAATTTTTGATTTGCTAATCAAATCAATCTCGAGAAAAAAAAAGGTTTTAAAAAAAAGAAAGAGCTACAAACATGGACTTCTGCCGACAAAAAATCGCACAGATG